TGTGAAATGTAAATATATATAGGTATACTAAGATAACCATAATTAGTATTAAGAGTGTCAATGTATGTTGAAAAATTTATCTGAATATTGACAATATATATATATAGATCTTGTTCACTGCGGTTATAGATTTTTATTTAACTCCCACAAATATCAGTATTTCGGCGCCCTGAGTATGAAAATTTAGTCTTGAGTTTCATGCAAAAACCCCTGAGTTGGCTGATGAGAGCAGAAATTGCTACAGGGTACGGACCTGGTGATCCGTAGTACAGGTTAACGCCTATTTCGGACACCAGGGGGCCAATCGCCTAACTGGGGCCTGATCGCCTAACTCGCGTTGCTTTAAAAATGCTAAAGTTTATGACGTCACACTGTCATTTGGAAACGCCTATGAAAGCCATAACGCTTTCACATTTACTTTGCGGCCGATGACAGCCATTAACAATTTTGAATGACATCGTTCAATTTCTCGCTACTATTTTGACAGGAAATCGAAACGCCTAAAAAAAGTGAAAGCGATTTCAAGATGGCGGGTAAGCGTTAAAGCTGTCAGATAAGCAGACACCTATAGACTCACTGTTTTCATCTCATGCTTTCATACGATATTTATAATTCAATTTATTTTGCTTTATAAAATTAAAATATAGCTACTTTTGTCTTTTGTTAACCTAAGATTGTGTACTCTTGTAGTTTTTTTTCTGTTTTAGTGAGAAATGGCTCGAATATTTCTGTTGGTGGTAGCTGAGGAGGAGAGCCAGAAGACAATGCTGACCTTGCGAAGAAGACAGTTGCGGGAGGACAGCATGCCTATGTTGCTGCCGGAGCGAACGTTTGTCCAAACGTTCCGCCTGAGTAAGGATAATTTCCTTACTCTTTGCGACGACTTGATGCCGTTTTTGCATCCGACGCACAGAACGACCTAAAGACTATGAAGAAGCATATTTTAACAGGAAAATGTACCTCTCCCTGTGCTTAATGTGCTTGCGGTAAGTAATAATTACATTAAAACCGCTTCCTAAATCTCTTCCAAATGCTTACATGATTACAGAATCACATATTATTTCTATATTTTTGAATAAATGTGGTCTATTGAATTATAATAAAACCTTTTAACAATCAAATACTCTACATTTATTTATAAAACAGTAAATATATGAAGCAACTTATTTTTTAATCAATTGTCTCTTCACAAATTTTGTGTTAAATGAATTATATTATATTAGGAATCACTTCATACCAACAAAATTTAGTTTAATAAAATAACACTTTACACAAAGGTAGGTACAATACCAAAAGCATTTATACCATAACTTTTCAAAAATAATTTCTTGGAATGTGATACTCATATGAAATAAAATAGTTGTTTAAACCTTAATATTATACTCTTGTTACAGATGTGTGATGCAGACTTACATATTTTGCATATGGATGCATCATTTGGTGGTGCAAGTCATGACTCTCATGTTTGGAATTGTTGCCCTGTGAAAAATGGAATTGAAAGACTCCATGATATTGGACAGATCTACTGGTTCTTGGGTATGTGTATTAAAAATCATTTGTTATCATTTTATTTGAATATTTTCATACAAAATAAGTGTTTTTGTATGTTAGTATTTTTCAGTGTTAGTTTTACAATATTTATTTTACAGATGACTCTGGCTATGCCCGAAGGGCATGGATGATGACGCCAATCCTCCATGCTGACCCAGGGAGACCAGAGGATCACTACACAAATTCACATGTGCGGACTAGGAATGTCATAGAAAGATGCTTTGGCATCTTCAAGACCCAAATCAGAAAGCAGGGAAAATCTTAAATGCATGTGTTGTTTTACACAACCTTATTTGCGACTCATGTATCAAGATTGATGAGGATGTCATGCGTGTGATCATGTCCGCCAACCACAGCGTGACATACTTGCCACAAGTGGAGACAGGCCTGTCCGTGGCATCTGTCCTGCAAGACAGTCAGTTACTCTGGAGTAGTCATAACCATAATTGACCATTTAAAACTGTTTACAGAAACTTGTGTGAAGAAGGATCTGTGAGCAGAGGCACCATACAAGATAAAATAGGTATTATAAGTTTAGTTTACAATTTATTGTATTTTATTTTTATTATACTAATTAATTATTAATTAGCACCTAAGTTTAATGTCTAAATTTAACATGTCATTTTTATATCTTCCTGTATGTATTGGTAGCTACATCATTTGATGTAAATGTTAAATGCTGATGAGTTTCTTGCGCCCATTCTTCTCACCAGCTAGAAGATGTCCTGTGTGGTAGTAGGAAAAAAATGTAGGATGATTAAAGAGCTCTCAATAACTTAATTTGAATAAAATATGATTTCATTTCAAATTTGTTTTATTTAAATACAACTTTTGAATATGTACTAACGTTAAATGAGAAACTAGTTATTATTAATACTCTAGTTTAATTTGATTTATATAACTGTAATTTTATAAGTTGTTGTTAAATATTCATAACAATAAAATTTATTTCTTATGTTAGTGTTCAAATATTCTAAATTTACTTTCTATTAGCAAGTTACTAATTGGGTACAAATTGAATTTATTCATTTGAGAAATAAAAGGGAAACCCCTTGGACAAAGCTGGCTTGGAGAGCAAAAACTGGAAAAAGTTTAAGGAGGCCTTTGTCAAAAGGCGCACAGAGTTAAAAGAGTATTAAAATGAACACAATAATTTATTTTTATATAAACAATGTTAACTCTGAATATAGACTCTAAATAAATAAATGATTTCATTTCAAAACTGTTTCAAACTTTTTAGTAGGTACTAATCAACTTTAAAGAAATAATTTCATTTCCTGACTACCCTATTGTTGAGAAGCATGGTAGACCTTGTAACTGTGGTCACACCGCTATTCAGAAACCAGCCAGTATGTCTCCAAAGACCTACTAATTTAATAACACCTATTAGCTATTAACTCTTAATAGATTTTTATTCTACTTTTTTACTCAATGAACAACAGCTGTGAGACCATGACCTAGAAAAAGGTTGCAAGGTGATAAAGTTGAGGAGGGAGCTTACGATAATAATATTCAGTAAATAAAACATTCAGTAGTATTGCTGTTATATTTTAGTAAAAAGATTACCATAAACAACTTCAGATACAAATGCACATTATTTATTTCCATGAGTTACAGTCTTATAGAACCAACATAATACATGAGTAATATCTCTCAATGCTCGGAGCACGTCCCTCCGCAATTGCTGTTCCTCCAGTCGCCGCTCCTCAAATTTTCCCCATGCAGTTGACTGCCGCAAAGCCGGCAGTTTTCCAGCTCAAAAATCCAATACAGCTGAAACAAATTACCAGCGTTTTTTAAAAAGGGATTGTTTGTATTTTCCAGTTTTTGAAACTTATTAAGTGGTATGTTATTATTCTTTACAAATGAGTCTATGAGTTCTACCATGTTACATGAAATTAATCAATGGTAAAGATATAGACCTCCAAAGGTTTTTATAGGTAACACTTTACTCTTGGTACTTTCCATAGGATGGATGCTTAATTAAAACAGATAAGGCAACATAATTGAACTTACAATGTTATTAAGTAGGTGAATAAAATAACATTGATTGATCATAAGCCAGGCTCAGCCAAATAGAAAAAAAAATAGTTAAGCTTTTAACAGCACCTTATGTATGGGGAGTTACCATTTTCAAATTAGTAATTGAATTCCATGCAATAGTACAAATACAGAACACATAACAAGATGCCTTATAAACTTTATACAAAATAATAGTAAAGTACCACTTACTTTAAATCACCACTCCTTTGGTGTTTTAGTAACATCATTAATTGCGTTTAGGAGGGACGCTAAACTCTTCCATAGGCCCATCGAAGCCTGTTTGGCCTGTGCGGGGCTCCAATTTGCATCCCTCTAGCCTGGAATGGGTGCTCCTCCATCCATATTAGTAAGGCCTCCAACTGTACGTTGGAGTTGTAGACTTAATATGGTGCCGGTTTCTAAAATGTTAAATAAGTACTAAATTATAATGACGAAAATGCGATTATCTTTGACAAAATTAACATGATCTTCGTGATAAAGTAAAGTTATTAAATTTCTTGAATTATTTTTGTTTACTCAAAAAGTACTTACTTAGTCAAGTTTCTTCGATGTGATACTTTCTTTCTAAAAGTTATCAGATTTCTAATTTCTATGCGACGTATGCTCAATAGTTTCGAGTTTGTTATATGTATACTTGACATCAGCTTGTCCTTTTCATTCTTTATAAAGCATGATAAGGACAGACTGCGGTCAAATTAACAAACAGCAAACACGAATAGCCAAGTGAAGTGCTGACAGCAGTTATGGCATACGTTCAGAACATATGCTTCAGGTACGAACAATGTATATTTTGACATACATTTTATGTATTTGTTTCTTAGGTTTGATAAATAAATAAAATCAGTGCATCTAACCCGTTGAAACTTGTTTTATTTAATACATTTTATGTCAAAATTGATAAATCAGGGTAAAAAAAATGCACCCAGAGCATAAGTTTAGAACGTAGGCAGATGTAACAGACATAGCGTTTTGTTTGTGCAATTTATGGTACCCAATTAAAATTTTCTTATGTCTTTGATTTAAGAATAATTTTGTAAGACTAATTATTAAATATTAATATTTATGCCACCCTATGATAATATACATTTGTAAATTAAATATTAATGTATTTCAGTCAACTATAAAATGAAAAGAATTTTGTAAAAAAATACATGAACATAACGCAATTGAATCGTTCACTCACGTAAGCATTTGATAACCATAAGCATTACGACACGTCGTGAATTTTAGGCGTTTCGATTTTATCGCAGACAGAGTTTGAAAAAGTTATGGCTGTCAACTTTCGTATTGCTCTCGCTTTGACTTAGGCGGTCAGGCCGCTGGATTGCTTTGGAAAACGCTATCGCTTACGATTTCATTTTGTTATTTCTAACCGCCGAAATACCTCACGCTCATTTTCTTTAACATTGTTATTACCAATGCAAAAGAAAAAAAAGAGCGCGAGGCATTTGAAAACCTCAGGGGGCTAGAAATAACAAAATGAAATCGTAAGCGATAGCGTTTTTCAAAGCAATCCAGTTAGGCGATTGGCCCCCAGCTTCTTACAACGCCTAATAATATTATTTAAGTGTTGCTTAACCTGTATTTTATGTGCCTTAATAGTTGTAAGAAGAAATATATAAATTTATTATTATTAAAATACTTATAACAATGTTTGAATGCAGAGGTAGCGCTTGAGTCGATTTGGTTGCTCGCGAGTGTAGATAGGTACCGATGGATATAAAGTTGCGTGTTGCAGGGATTCTTAAACTTTAAGTACCGATGTGCGGTCTAAGAAGCCCCGGCAGCTACTTGTTAGTTTATCCCTTTCCCCGCACAATACCGATCCCCGTTTTTTAGTAGCTAGAAGGTCAGAGCCGACATTGACGTCGGAACAGGCAATGCAATCGTCGCGAACGTATTTGGTGAGTAATTCTAATTACGCTTTGTAATTCTGACGGGCCGTCTCAGGCCTCACGTCGGAACTTACGTATTTTTTTATTTCTCGCTATAGTAAACTGTGTATTTTCACCGATATTATGAACTATGGAAATACCAGGGACTTCCGACAGCGAATGAAATAGTTGCGAAAGATTCACAGCATTCAAAAAGATCTTGGATGTGTAACATCGTCAACAGCCCATTAAGGACAATTGCTGGTGCACAGGACTTCCCTATGGATGGAATAGGGAGATTGGGCCATAACCCACCCCGCGGGCCCAGTGCAGATTGTTGGGTGCTAAACGTCAGCAGATGCAACAGGGACCAAAGGCTTAACAGTACAGTACAATTTTAGTTTCTCAAGTTTTTAGCGTATTTTATTTAATGAAGTATACATAATTAAACAATTCTGTGTAATAATAAGCGGTCCTATCGCTAAGAGCGATCTCTTCCAGACAATCTTAGTCGGGCTTAACGTATCTTCCGAAGCACGGAGGAGCTCGAGATAGAAAATTTTTGGTCACCCATCTGATGATCAACCACTGCAAAAGTTGCTTAACTTCAACGATTGCAGCCAAACGCGCAAACTACTTGCGCCATTCAGCTTCTCTCGGATATGTAAAAATAATCCAAATAGTGAGAAAGTGATTGAGTACTGCCAAGAATACTTGGTTCTGATAAGCCAGAAACATTTGAAGATGAAACTGAGAAAGTCAAGCAAGACACGAACGAGTTGTCTTTCATGCCAAGGACAAATATTTAAAGCATTACATTCTTCAAAATACTCGATATATATATGCGGCCTCTTAGGCCTCACTTCAGTACTAAGGTTACAAAAAATACACATTGGTACTTGAATGTTAATGAGGGTCCAGACTACATAACAAAAATGTTATTTATCATAGTTAAGATAATAGGACTTGTTATACAAGTGTGGACCGTGGAAGAACTATGTTAGATTATGTGAATGTGTAACAAAAGTTAAAAAAATATGTTATATCATCAATATGTACTAAGATCGGTTTGTATAGAAGGTAACCAATTAAAAATAGAAAAAAATCAAAACAATTACTGTATACCTAATGTGTTGTGAAATTTATTTAATAGAATGTCATATCTCGTAACTAATACTACTACACTTAAAACATCAGTATGAATTAGTTATTTTGCGTCTCCTCATTTGCTCCAGCCATTTATCAAGCTGTTGCGGCGGTGTCAATGGCTGTAGTTTGTAAAAATCTTCTGGAGGTTTTCCTTCTTCTAAGCGTACAAAGTAGTGGCAATATTGATATCGCACTTCACCCATTCTTCCTCGAGCATGTCTTCTTATGCCTTTGATAACTGCACCATTGCCACAAAATGATTCAGCTAGAAGAAATAGAAGAACTAATTGATTATTAAGTTATATACCTATAAAAGTACAACCACAAAATAGACATTACAGAAGGTAATCTACTAACATACACTACAACAATAGTATTTTGTGCCTAAGCCTTCCTAGCCTTCCAGGAAATCCTAACGCGACCGCCTCGCGTGGTATCCAAAGCACATTAATGAGATTACCTTCTGTTATGTCAATTTTGTAGTACAACAATGGAAGAAAAATTAGTCACGTTCTTTGATTTTCGTGTAGTATAAGTGTGTATAATGAACGCATACATAACTGACTTGTGCTGTGGGCCAATGCTAAAGTATCAGGTGGCACAGGGTCATAAAAAATTAACCCCTTTATGTAGTCTTCTACTTACAATATTGTAAATAATCTGATATTAATTCTGCCAGACCTACTATTGGCAGTATTCATTGCCAGATACTTTAAATATGAAGAGCTCGATGGCGTAAGTAGTTAGCGCATAGGGCTGCGATTATTGAAGTTAAGCAACTTACATAATCGTCGGTCATAGGATGGGTGACTAAAAATTTACTATCAAGCTCCTCCGTACTTCGGAAGGCACGTTAAGCCGCTGGTCCAGGCTGCATTTGTAGCCGTTAGCACCACTAGGCCCGCGTGGTGGGTCATGCATGCCCCAATATCTATATTCCATCCATTAGGAAGGGGTGTGCCCTAGCATTGGGGACATTCATAGACTAATGATGACAATGACTTACAAGTATATATATATATATACATATATATATATATACTAGCTGACCCAGCGAACTTCGTACCGCCATAAAAAAATTTAATTAAAAAAAACATTGTCCAGCGGGCAAAATTGTGAATCTAAACCATTCTCAGATCCCCTTGAACACACACAAAAAATTTCATCAAAATCGGTCCAGTTGTTTAAGAGAAGTTCAGTGACGTACACACTCACAGAAGAATTATATATATAAACTAGCGGACCCGACAGACGTTGTCCTGTCTACACGTCTTTGTGAATCTAAACCATTCTCAGATCCCCTTGAACACACACAAAAAAATTCATCAAAATCGGTCCAGTCGTTTAAGAGAAGTTCAGTGACATACACACTCACAGAAGAATTATATATATAAAAAGATAAAAATATATCAAAAAAAGAACAAACCAATCCACATATTGCTTCTGAACTCTACATTGTGTTGCTGCACTGCAAGATCTTGAGCTTCAAGGATTGTGTCCTTAACATATGCTGCACCTTTTTTGTTTATGAAACTTAGTTGTTTTACTGCTTCATCTACTGTCATTCCTCTCACAAAAGATGCTATATACCACATTTTCTTTGGACTGTATTTGATATTAGTTTTTTGATGGCAAACATACTGAAAATAAATAAAATGTTACTTTTGACTCTAACACATTATATTTATATATCAAAATACAAATATTGGGACTGAGCGTGTAGGTGCCTTTTAAAACTATTAAACTCTAAGATTAATTTCCCTACAACTGCACTCATGTGGTGCATGCATATTTAGGTATGATTTATTGATATTTTATAAGCAAATTAATAAAGGACTGGGAACTTACAGCAGGTCGGCGTTCATCCCCATCACTTTGAGGAGGGAACACTTTCTTATTGTAGGCTAAAAAGTTTTTTGGCTGGTTAATTTTTGACCATGCTAGCACTGATGCACTTGTGTGAAGTCTATTATTGACACTAAAATGGAGACAGGAAAATAATTTTAAAGTGTTCATTTTGTTGGTTGACAATAATTATTATTCTTCTTTTTCTTTTTTTATGGCATGCATGGTTTGTGCGTTCAGCCAATGTCATGTAAAAAATTTTTTTTTTTTTGGTTAAGTTAATTTGTCCCTGTTGGGACGGGCAAAGGATTCTGAGTCCATACAGCCCTGTCTGTTAACTTTTCTTTCTTAAAGTGTTTTGATTGTAGCTTTTACAAATTTGTATAAAGGAATGTAGGTGTCTTTATTTTGTAAAAGTTTTCTCAAGTCGCGCGGAATGGTTTCTTCGCCAAAAGTACTTCGAAGCAGCAAATTTCTCTGTACTTGAAATGAACCGCAAAAGAAAAAGATATGGTCCAGGGACTGATTATCTATGTTGCAGAAGTTACAAACAAGTGAGCTGACCATCTTGAGCCGGTACAGGTGATCTTTAAAAAGGCAATGACCTATTCTAAGTCTGCTTAAATAAAAAGCGCGGGAAACGTTTAACTTGGTAGACGCGTTTTATGGTGAAAAACTTTATATATTAATTTTTCGATCAGAAGGGTACATTTTGTATATTTTTGTAAATATTAATTATTATTTAATATATTGTGTACATATTTGGATCATTGGTAAGTCCTCTTACTAATTTTTTACCGTCATGAACGATCCCCCCGATGACCCGGGGGGATTCGTTCCCCCGGCAGGTAATTTTGTCACTGTGCAGTCGGAATCTGGAATGGATACTGATGCATCCACCTCCAATAGGACATTAAAGCGGAGTCGCCGCTCAAATATTATTTGTAAACACTGCAACAAAAAAAGAAGGAGACATGGTAACTCTGAAGCTAAAATAAATGGTTGTTCATGTACATCTGAATCAGATCTTACTCCTCCATCAGTTCCATTACCCATGCCAGAGTCTTCAAAGCCCACTACAAATATAACTGCTAATACAACAAATGAAAAGAGTTTACCTTCATCTACCCCAATTGGCCGGAAAAATTACTGTGAGACTGACGTAGCTCCTTTCATTCTTCACGTCCAAAAAATATTAACATCCCCTGATGATAAATTCACGATTCACCCTGTGAAGTTTGGCAATTTTTTAAAGAAAAATAGATTCCCAAATATTGTTTACGGAAGTGTCAAGAAAGTAGGTCGCAATAAAATTGCTATTGGTTTTACTAATTATAAAGATTGCAATTCCTTTCTAAATAACAAGTCACTTGAGGAGAACAAATTTAAAGCATTTATACCTACATTTAATGTAACACGAATGGGATTGGTAAGAGGTGTTCCTGCTGAGTGGTCTCCTGAACAGGTCATGGCTAATTTATCTGTGCCTGTAGGATGTGGTAATATAATAAAAGTCCGAAGAATGAACTTCAAAACTTTTGTTGAAGGCAATCCCACATGGAAGCCATCTCAGACAGTCATTATCACATTTGATGGACAAGTCCTTCCAAAAAGAGTTTTTCTATGCTATAATGCTTTAAATGTAGATTTATATATATTCCCCACAATACAATGCTATCATTGCTGTCGTTTTGGTCACACAAGGGCACAGTGCAGATCAAGTCCTCGATGTTACAAGTGTGGTAAAGACCACTCTGGTGACTCTTGTGGCACTGCAGAGGAGGATGCTAGTTGTTGTTTATGTACTGGTTTCCATTTTGCTACCAACAAAACTTGCCCAGAGTTTATGAGGCAAAAACAAATTAAAACATATATGGCCCAAAATTGTGTGTCTTATGCAGAAGCTGCCAAGGTACATCCTAATGTCTCCAAATCATATGCTGACACCTTAATATCAAAACCTTCTTCTAATCCCATTATTTACAATAAAAACTATAAAATGCCCCTGACTCAACACAACAGATCACCCTCAACATCATACAAGAAAACAGTGTTTCTAAAACCCCAAAAAAATAATTACCACAATATTGGCTATGATAGAGATGCACACAATGCTATTATAAATGATTTTGCAATCCCTGCCCCATCAAATGGATGTGCTCTATTAACATCTAAACAACAAGATAATGACTCACAATTAGAATTAATTTCTGCTCTATTTAATTTATTAGCTAAATACCAATTGATTTCACCGTCCAACGTTGCCCCTTTACTTGAAAATATAATACAACATTCCAATAATGGATCTTTGCAATATAATTCAGTGGAACATTCGTATTATCATAAGTAATAAAAGTGACCTTATATATCTCACCAATAAATATAAGCCATTTGCCTTTGCTTTGTCAGAAACTTGGCTTAAACCTGATAAATCTTTTAATATTAATGGATATTGTACAGTGAGAGATGACAGACTAGACAGAAACGGTGGAGGAACAGCTATTCTTATTAAGAACACAATTCCATATATAAATATAACTATTCCTCCACATTGTGATGACATCTCTATAGTAGCTATAAGTTTTAATAATATTTGTTTAGTATCAGTGTATATACCACAACCTTCATCTTACATTTTAAGTGATCTAAACAACTTGCTCTCTTCCCTTCCTAAGCCTATCTTAATTCTAGGAGATTTTAACTGTCACCATACTGTCTGGGGAAGCTCTCAGTGTAGCTCTTTTGGTAGAAATTAGTGGACATACTGGACACACATAATTTATGTTTCCTTAACACAGGTAGCCCAACACGATGTACAGATCCAAATCAGAATATAAGTACTGTAGATTTATCTATTTCTTCTCCAAGCTTAGCCTCTTCTTTGTCTTGGGAGACTCTTACATATACATATGGTAGTGACCACTATCCAATAATCATTGGATTTCCAAGTCATCAAGTAAAGCACTCCCAAAAGTTATGTTTGAGAAAATATAAATATTCTATTAGAGACGACACTACTTGGAAAACTTTCAAGGATAGAGTTGACGCTAAGATTAATCAACTACCAAGTGTGAACAGTAGTAATGATATTGCTTGTGCACAAATTCTGACTGACATTTTAACAGAAGCTGCCTCTGAAACTTTTCCTTCCAAGGCAAATACTTTAATCAGAATTCCATCTCCACCTTGGTGGGACAGCGAATGCACCCAAGCAATTAAAAAAAGGAAAAATGCAGAAAGACTCTATTGTAAAAATATGACATATACTAACTATGAAATACTATGTAAACTAAAATCAGAAACAAAAAAGTTATTCAAAAATAAGAAATTTGAAGGCTGGAAGCGTTTCTGTACTTCTATTTCTCCTAATGTCCACCCTCAGACCAAATAAAAAGTATAGACGGAGTCTGCCGAACCAAAAAGTGAAGCCGATAAAACTACGCCTCGCCGTGTACATACACAGTTACACGCACACACATGCAACGAAACTACGCCTTGGCTTCTCAGTCGAGCTATCCCGACGCGCGGAGTGTGACGTAATAATAAATAACAATATTTATTAGAGAAAATGCCGAATTGTGTAGTGAAAACGTGTAAAAACCAATCTTCCAAGAATAAAAAACAGGATGGAATCACATTTCATACGTAAGTAAAGTTATAAACTGCTATTTTCAATTAATCAAAATCAAATTTGAGGTTGTCGCTTTGTAAACAAAACCTGAACGAAATGTTGCCATGATTATTCGTTATAGTTTTACCCTTTTGTTGGGTAGCGTGAAATATAACGTAACGTTATTTTATTATATACATTGTGTGGCATACTTTTATATTATTCGAATATTGTAATGCATGGATAAACAATTACACGAAACATCTTTTTTCTTTATGTATTCGTTTATTTTTTTTGGGATGTAATACACATTATTTAATATACGTTCTTTTTAAGATTTCCTAATCGAGATCAAGATCTAAAAGGGAAATGGATTGCAGTCATTCGTAAGAGTAGAAATGCACCATTGTGGCAACCAGCTTCCCGCAGCGTGGTTTGTTCGACTCATTTTCAGAGCGACGATTTGTAAAATAATAATATATTTGTAATTTTATTTGTATTGTACTTTTTAATGGCCTTTTTGACCCAAAATTCGCGATGTTTGTGGATTTATTTTATTATGTTCTTGTATAGGAACTAGTGATTATATTTTATGTATTCTATAGAAAATTTCATGTACATTTTAATAAAAGAAACTGTTTATCAACATTTGTATATGCTTTTCGGTTTATCGACATAAAGTTGAGATGACTGATTTGTAAGCGATTTCAAGTGCCTTGTTGCGAGTGCTTGAAACTATAAAATGAACAAACCTATTCCATCCGAGACTTGTAACTAAAGTAAAATAATCAATCCAACATAATTAAACGTCAACACATAAATCAAGGCACTTGGATCTCGCATTTGTTTTTATCAACACTTGCAACACGACCCTTTTTTTCTGTTGCGTTTTATATTTTATAATTGTATTTGGTAAGTTATTATATACATTCATTCATATATAGTACATTCTATATGTACAAAAACCTGGATTTATAATTTACAAATTTTGAAAATACACCTCATTTTATCTATTTATCTTTCCTGAGTTTACCATAATGTAATTAAAATAAATTATAGACATGACGCATTGTGTACATACTGTTTTATTGAAAATTTTATGGAGAATCCAAATATACGTTTGTATTTTTACAAAATAACAGAGAAATCGGCAGAACAATGCAATCGTTCCCACCCAGCGGGCGAGCGGTCCATAAAGAAGTCCAGCACTTGTAGGTGAGAACGGCGCATGACCTTTGGCTCACGAGAGGTTTAGAGAATAAGCTTACGATATTTTTTCTAATATTTTATAACGTTATTAAAAATGTAATAACGTTATGAAATAACGTTATTACATTTTTCTAATATTGGGGTGTTTCATATGACTATGGTAACACTGGCTAATGCACTACATACATAAAAAACCGGCTTCACTTTTTGGTTCGGCAGACTCCGTCTTTACTTTTTATTTGGTCTGAGTGTCCACCCTTCAATAGTCTGGAATAATATTAAACGTTTTAGATCTGCCTTTAACAAAACTTCTTTTTCTACTCTTCCTCCTACTCTTGCGAACGACTTTCTTGATAAATTAGCACCGCCATGGGTCCCGGAAAACAATTTAACCCTACAAGCCTCCTCGTTAACGTTATCCACACATTACTTAGAACGT